GGGATGGTGAATTATCACAGAACCATAACCCAACCCAAAATCAACCTGGAGAAGATCAGCATCCCCTATCCCTGCACTGAAGAAGATTGATGGTCCAACACCCACCTTTATGGCTGGCCAACCCCTAGGTACACCATCAACCTCCTAAGCAGGATGGGGTCCATAGGAGCAAGATGGCAGCAGACATTACAGCTCAACTCTCCCCCATCCACCTCCCCCACCTCTCTCCTTTCCCTACATGTAAATTGAAAGTAACAATTAGTTTATTTTTGCTTGTGCAAATTACAGCTCGTGCTCCCAGGGAGCAGACAGCTGCCAGGGCTGCGCTGAGCTGCGCGCCAGCCTCGGCCTGTTACATGAATAAATAACCTGGTGTTAGGGGAGGATGCTCTACCTGCCCTCCCCCCACTTCCTTTATTGCTCTCAATAAAAACAGAAAAAGCGGGGAGGGAACCAAAACCCAGAAATTCTTTGGATTTCACTCTGTGAGCCATTAGGCAATAAACGGATGAGTTAATTGGGATTAGTGGCACCATGCCTTCGCTGGAGCATGTTTCATTGAGAAGTGAAAGTTGAGCAGTGCCAGGCTCCAGCACCCAAAATCTTCCCTCTCCTCATGCACAGTCCTCCCAGCACAACAGAGATGTGTGCACTGCTCAACCTGCCAAAGGGGCTGCTATTAGCAAGCATCCCATACACCAAATTTCATATCCTATATTTGCCATCTTACATTCCACTTTCAACACTGCACATCCCCCACACCATTTCTAACATCCGACTTCTTGCGTCCCATGTCCAGTGTCCATTAACCCCACAACCCATATCCTATATCCCAAACACCATCTGCCATTCTGTATCCTACATGCCATATCAAACATCCCATTACTTGCATGCCAAACCCAATGTCCCATAAGCTGCATCCTGTACCCCATATCCTGTTGTCCATATCTTGTATTCAACCTTGCATATCCCATATCCTGCATCCCGCAGCCTACATCCTACATCCCATATTCTACATCTCACCTCCAATGCCCCATAATCTTCATCCTGTATCCTACATCCCTTATCTTGCATCCAATCTCCCACATCCTACACCTTGTATCCCGTACCCTGCATCCTACATCCTGAATCCCATATCCTGCATCTCAAAGCCCATATCTTGCATCCGATCCCCTACATCTCATCTCCGATGTCCCATAACCTGTGTCCTGTATCCCATATCATACATCCCACAGGCCATATCTTGCATCCAACCTCCCACATCCCACTGTAGCCCATAGCCCATACCCTGCATCCAACCTCCCACACTCTGCACCCTATCTCCCTCCATATCCCCATCATGCATTCCATAGCCCATATCTTGCATCCCACTTCCCACCATATCCCATATCCCATCTCAACACCCCATAACCTCTGCCTTATATATCTCATATCCAACATTTCACATCCTGCATCCCACCTCCAATATCCCCTATCCTGTATCCCGTAGCTCATATCTTCCATCCAACTTCCCACATCCCAGACTCTAAATCCTGCATCCCACCATAGGACATACTCCACATCCTATAACCCATCCCTTGCATCCAACCCTCCACATCCCATATCCTGCACCCCACCTCCCACTGCTATGTTATTCCCCCATTAACACTCTCAGTCCAATCATATTTGGAAATGTCTTTTATTATTTCCGCCACTTGGAGTTGGTAACACCACAAGGTCCTATGTCATCGGACCAATGCCCTCACATGCAAAGAGCCTTAAAAACCCCTGCAAAAACTCCGTGCACCCAAAAGAAAGGGTTTAGGATCATGTTGTGCACGAGGTTTTCTTGCATCCAGGAAGATCTCAGCAAGATCAGTGCAAAAGGGACACGAGGGAGGCACAACGATCAGCAATTTGCTGGGAATAAATCCTAGTTGTAGGGACGAGTCATGCAATTGCCAAAGCATAGTGAGCCCAGGAGCTGTCAGAAGCAAATCAGCGATGTATTTCCAGCGTGATCTATACCTATGGGTGGACTTCTATATAGGGAGCAGGGCAGCAGAACACCGAGGAAGGAGCCAGGCTTAGAGGGAGGGAGCGTGCAAAAGGCAAACTTTGGCCAAGCCAGAATAGAAAAATCACAGTAATTCCAAACCCCCCCAAAAAAACCCAAAACAACCCTCAAAAAACAACTCCAACCTACACCAGCAGCAGCCCTGAGCCCAGCACTGCAAAGCATAATGCTGACATTATGCTGGGGGGGAGGGAGGATTTGGTTTTATAGAGAGTTAATTTGTACTTTTGCAGCCCTGAATTCATTCCGAGCTTCCCCAGCACGATTGAATATCGCAGGGCTGCAGCGTGAGCTCAGGTTACCAAGATGTCAGGACTTGGGCAGAGTGTGCTGTAGCGCCTCAGGAGCAAACCCTACAGAGGATCATTATCAATAATTGACGAAGAATAACCCAGGGGTACTTCAGTGATGATGCACTGATACCCCCATTACCAGCATCTACGTGGCAGTGGGGGACAACACCGAGCTGAAATGGGTTATGGGTGGCTTTGCTTGGCTGGAAGCTGTGATATGAGCTTGGGGTAAGGAGGCATGGGTTGCTGTAGGGTTGCTGTGGATGGTGATTCTGTGGAACGCACACTTCATCCTACCTTCACTGGTAAGGGATGCTGGAAGAAAGCTTGCAGGTATTTCCCAGCCCAGCGATGTTTGAGTCACACTGAAGTGCTGGTGAAGCTTTTAAAGTGCTTCGCTGGAAGGTGGCATGGAGAGAAATACCATGCAGCCCCAAATCCTGGAGCCTCACACAGAACCCAAAGGGTTAAGGAGCAGCATCTTCCATGAGTGAGGCAGGGTGATGAGGGGACAATGTGGGTCCTCATTTCCTTGAGCCGCACCTCAGTGCTGCAAGGGGACAGGAATGAACAAAGAAGGGGGTGACTCTGCCCCCAGATATTGCCTGTGGATGCTATGGTTCCCTTCAGGAGCAGGACCCCACTGTTAATATGTTGTTATGATTTGGGGCTCTTCTGCTAACTGGGGGGATTCCCAGAAGGAAATAAATCAGAGCACGGGGGAAAAATATTAAAAAATAAAATAAAATTAAAACAAAACAATTAATTGCAGCAGCGCAAGGAGTGTGGATCACCTCCGTGCCTGGAGAACAGGGGATGAAGTTGCAAGTGCTGCTGCCAACACGGAAACGCGTGGATAGCAGTTGCAGAGATGGATCTGCTCCCATAGACCAGGAAGAGGGGAAAAAGAAAAGCGTGCACGGTCCCCAAAATGCCTGCACTCTGCAGGATCAGTGGGGGAACGTATCGTGGGGTGGCAGACCCCAGGGTGAGATCTCTTACAGCAGCATTGCCCCCAAACGCTACGGCCAACGCTGCTCTTCCATCCCAGAACAGCGCACAGTGAAACCTACAGAGGTAATGGGGGGTGACCACGGAAGGAGGAACAGGGATAGAGACGGGGTGGCCAAGATCAGGGACACTCAAACTGAGCGGTGTGATTCAGGGAAGCGTTGGTCCCACAACCTTTCCTCTCCCTCCCCAGACTCTCCTTTATCTGGTCACGGAACCAACGGTTGGAAATGTGCCCCCAAAAAATGTATCAAAGTAAGGAAGTGGGATGTGGGTGATATGGGGAAATTGGCTGCACCCCAACGGGGAGCTCTCATATGCTCCCCCCCAAAAAATAGCAAAGAGAGGAAGCAATGTCCCAAAAAGAAGCTGAGTGGGGCTGCAGAGACTGTGGTGGGGATAGCAAAGCTTTCAGGCGTGAAATAACAACAGGAAAAAGGGGTGACCAACCCTAAAGATCCCACAAAGCTTTCAGCCCCGGCGCATCACACATGGCACAAGGACCCCTCTCCACACACCCCAGCTCCCGGCGCAAAAATCTGACACAAAACAGCTGGGCTGCTTCCTAGGGAAAAAAATTAAATTAAAAGAAGGCATTTCTGGTCCCCGAAAGTCCAAAAGAGATGCAGAAAGCGAGATAGAGAGGAACTGCTTAGGCGCAGTGGGGTTATTTCATGTTGGGAAGTTGATATATGGCAGGAGCCAGGAGGGATCGCGGCGCAACTGGGCAAAAAATACAGGAAAAAAAGAATTAAAAAAATTAAAAATAAAGATGAACAAGCTCAGAAAGAGGCCCTTTTGCAAACTGCCCCGCAGTGCTCACTGCCCCAGCATGGTTGAAAAGAAGCTGGAATTGCACAGCGATGGCTGTGCCCGTCTACGACGGCAGCGCGGAGCGGAGCTGCCGGGAGCACACAGACTCCAAAAGGATCGCAAAAACCTGAGCCTAACTCTTTCCCCTTAGCTGAAAAGTCTATTTTTTTTTTTTTTTTTTTTTGCTTTATCTTTTTCCATAATGCTCATTTTATGGTTTTCTTGAGGGGAAAAAAAAAAAGTCAATTTCAGAGGTTTTCCTTTGGTGGAAAAGTCCCGTTTTTTTTTTGGTTTATTTTCGGTTTGTTTTCCTGCTCCCTTGCTTTTAAAAAAAAAAAAAAAAAAAAAAAAAGGCGAAACACTCAGAAGAGAGCAGCGAAAAGGGGGGAAAACAAGAATAAAATTAAGATTTATTACCATTTAAAATCAAGCTCGGTTGAGCTGAGGTCCAACAGGATCCGCAGTCCCCGCATTGGGACGGAGGTGACTTTTCGGTGACCACGGGGACAAAGGTCTCCGGGGCGCACAGGACGCAGGGACTGGGGAATGCCCAACTGGAAAGAAAACAAAACAAAACAAAACAACCAACAACACACACAGGACACAAAAAAAAAAAGACAGAAAAAAAGTGAAAAGCAAAAAGCACAGCGGGGCAGAGCCGGGGGCTGCGCTCCCTCCCTGGAAGTAACGCCAACAATGATGGAAAACAAAGAGTCACCCAATGAGCCCCCAGCGCCGCGACACGGAAAAGGGGAAAAGGAACCCAACCCCAAAACAAAAAGCAAAGCCACGGAGGTCCACGCGTCAAGAGAACAACCGACCCAGGCTTTAGTTGAATATAAGTTTTTTATCTTGATGCAACATCGTTAAAACCGTCACAAATCGAAACAACAGGTCGTTAAAAACGCTCCGCACCATCAGTCCCTAAAATGCACCAAAGCTCGCTTCGTCGGAAGACCCTCGTGGGTTCCCCCCCTCCCCCGTGATTAATATCAGTTTTCCCCAAATAATTAACATTTTGTGTGTATGTGTGTGTGTGTTTTCCTTCTTTAAATAAGCAACATTAAAAAAAAAACCAACAACAAAACAACCCAACAAACCGCTCCTCCGCTTCCTCTCCGAGCACAATTGCACAAACTCTACTTATTTCCCCCCTCCCATCCCTCTCTTTTTTCCTTTTTTTTTGGGGGGGCAGAGAAATAATGTGCATTTTCCTCTCCTTTTGTCAGCGCCGAGGTTAAAATAATTCCTTTCCCAGAGGGTTAATAAATAAATCTGGTGCATAGTGAGATAGCAGCCAACCGTTCGCAGTTCATATATTACTCTATTGCCTTTCAGGTCGCCCTAATTGTTATCTCCCCCCTCTCCCTCCCCCCCTATTTTTTTTTTTTATTTTTAAGAGCATAGATAATTTTAAATCTCTATAAAACAGTATTATTTAACCCAATCGATTCCTGTATATAGTGCATTCGGCTTCTTCCCAACATCATTTAAATTAACTTGGATATTATTTGCATGCTATTACATACAAACTTTTAAGACTCGTGTTTTTGTTTTTGTTTTTTTTTCTTTTTTTTTTTTTTTTTTTTAAGGATTTTGTCTTTTTTTTTCTTTTTTTTTCTTCATAAATCACCAAGCAAAATATAGGCTCAGGAAGAAAACAAACAAACAAACAAACAAAAAAGCAGAAAAAAAAAAAAAACCCTAAAAACTAAACTAATTTCTACATATGTACAAGGGAGGGGGGGGGGAGGAGGGTGAATAAGTTAAAGAGTGGCTCAGGTTGGGGTGCAGGTGGCGGAGGGCCGGGCAGGGCACAGCGCTGCCAGACCTCCCCTCCAACCCCCTCCCAGGGCAATGCACGGGGACACCCCGAAATTAATTCATTATAATAATTAATGGTCATTAAAGGAGGGGGTTAAACACGCAGGGTGGAGGGCGATAGAGCTCCGGGGGCGGCACGCCGTACACGTCCCGCATGCAGGCTGGCTCCACGTCCGCTGCCTTTCCGCCCCCTCCCCTCCCAGGACCCCTCTTTGATTCAGTCCAAGTCCTTATGGGGGGTGGGGGGGTGGTTGGGATCCCATTCCCCCGTATTTTCGGAAGAAAATACTTGTTTTTTTTTTTTGTTGTTGTTTTAATACAAGCAGATTGTTTCCTCTTCCCATATAAGGGGTCTATAGGATGACCCCCCTCCCCTGGACCCCCCCCTTTCCAGCTCGAGTCCTGATGGGGTTGGGGAGGGGGGGTCCCATTTCCCCCATTTGTTCTGAAGAAAATATTTATTACAATACAGTAGCAGATTGTTTGCTCTCCCTGGATAAGAGGTCTATAGGACACGTCCCCCTCTCCCCACACAGGGAGGTCTATGGGATGCGTCCCCCTCCCCAGGACCCCCCCCCCCCCCTTTCCAGTCTAAGTCCTGATGGGGCTGGGGAGGGGGGGGAGGGGTCCCATTTTCCCCGCATTTTCGGAACAACTTTTCAGAAGAAAATAATATATATATATTTTTATACAAGCAGATCGTTTGCTCTCCCCACATCGAGGGGGGGGGGGAAGGAATAAAGGGGCATTGCAATGTCACCCCCCCGCTTCACCCCACCCCGGGCTCACATGAAGAAGTCAGCGGCGGTAGTTTTTGGGGCTGCGGGAGGTGATGGCTCCCGGGGGAAGCCCCGCGCCGCCAACTTCTCGTACTTCTCTTTGTACAGATCCCGCTCCTTGGCCAAACGGGAAACTTCTTGCTTGAGTTGTTCCACTTGGCTCTGGAGCTGACACTTCTCGTTCTCCAGGATGTGCCTCTGCTGGACCCGCTTGTAGCGACAGGACTGCGCGTAGCCGCGGTTCTTCAAGGTCCTCCTCTTCTGCTTGAGGCGAATCACCTCCTCCTTGCTGAATCCCCGCAGCTGCCGGTTGAGCTCCCGCACCGACATACTCACCAACTGGTCGTCGGAAAACCTCTCCTCCAAGCGCAGGTGGTGGTGGTGATGGTGGTGGTGGGCGTTGTGGTGGTGGGCTGCCGGGGGCAGCTCCTCACCCCCAAAGGGCTGAGGCCGGAACGACTCATAGCTCTGATGGTGATGATGATGGTGGTGCGGAGCGCCGATCAAAGCCTCCACAGCATCCTCCGGGGTCAAGTTGAGCGCTTCGGGGTTGAGGTGGTGTTGGTAGCCCGACATCCAATACAGCTCCTCCAGCTGCGGTTTGGAGCCCAGGGGAGCGGCAGTGGGACCAGCACTCGGTTGCCCACCGGGGCTGGGAGCGCAAAAACTGGGCGAGGAAGGCACGGAGGAGCACGGGGTGCTGAGAGGGGTGGAAGAAAGAGAACCAGCAGGCAAGCGGTGGCACAGCCTCTCGGCCTCCGCCGGCTCTTTCTTCACCTCAAACTTCATCAGGTCAAAATCGTTGACGTATTCGATGGCGAGGGGGCTGGTGGGCAGCTCCGCGGTCATGGCCAACTCCGAGGCCATCTCAGTCCATGGAGGGGGAAAAGGTTCCCCGCCGCTTGCAGCGGGGCTGGGAGCAGGGAACCTCCGCTGAGGCTCCGCAATGGGGTGAGGTCGGGCTGTCCGAGGTGGAAATCTTTGGGTTCCCCCCCCCCCCCTTGTCCTTTCAGGCTCCGATGAGGGCTTCACTGCGCTTCTGACAGGACAGTGCTCAGGGACTCGGCTCCGGGATGCAGCCAAAATCCAGAGAACTTCCAATGGGGTTTTGCCAACGGCTTCAGCTCCGGCTCCTGGGAATTTCCGATGGGGTTCTGCTTCAACTCAACTCCGAGTACCTCCAGCGGGTCTTTGTCACCGACTTCAGTCCAGCTCCGGGGATCCTCTGACGGAGTTTTGTTGCTCTCTTCAACTCAACTCCGGGAAACCTCCAGCGGGGTTTTGCTTCAACCCAACTCCGGGGAAAACCTCCGATGGAACCGTTCCTGGGGACTCCGCTCCAGGATTCAGCCCAATTCCGGGGAAACTCCGATGGAGTTTTGTTTCAGACCAACTCCGGCTACCTCTGATAGGGTTCTGTCGCTGACTTCAGCCAAATTCCAGCGGAGCTCCGACGGTGTTTCGCTTCTGCTCAACACCGGGAAATCTCCTCCTGTGGGGCTTTGTCGCCGACTTCAGCCCGGCACCGAGTAACGTCCAACGGGATTCTGCTGCAGACTTCAGCCCCAACTCCGACGAAACGGTTCTTAGAAGCTCTGTTCCAAGATGCAGCCCGACTCCGAAGAACCTCCGACGTTGCCTTATCGCGGACTTCAGCCCAACTCCGCCGAACCTCTGCTGGGGTCCCGCTCTGCGACCGCCCACTCCCGACGGAGTTTTCCGTCTCCCCACAGCCACGCACAGGAGCTCAACCCCAGCTTTCACCCGGGAGCGAAGCGCACCACGGGTCTCTCAGTGCGGGATGCCCGGAGCTCTCTGCGGTTCCTCCGCTGCCTCCCAATGGCGAGCAACGGGGCAGCGCCCTGCCCGCCCCTTCCTGCCTTCCCCTTGGCACCTGCCCCAGCCCCACCTCCCCGGGGCTGTGAGCCTTCCTCTGCCCTCCTCCTCCTCTTTTCTCCTCCCCTCCCCGGACAACACTGGGGGGCGGGGAACGCAAGGCTACCCTCTCCCCGCCCGCACCCTCCGCGGCACAGCGCTGAATGGAGCCCTCCGCCTTATATATGGGGAGAGCCCCTTTATATCCGCCCCTAAGGCGGGTCTTAGGGTCCGCCAGCCAATCATAGAGGCGACCGCCCGAGGATATTTACATATTCCCATGGCAACGTCCCTGGGTGGCTGTCAATCAATGAGAGGAGGGAGCTCGGCGCTGCCCGCGGGAGCCCCGCAGGAGCCCCCAGGAGGGTGGCGTAGAGCTTTCCCCTATGGTACCACCCCCTATAGGCACCCCCGATAAGCACCCTCTATAGGCACCCCCGTGTCCTCACCCTCACAGCTCCCAGCCACCACCCCAAGCAAGCTGCAAGGATCATAATGATGGAAAACAAAACAAAACAAAACAAAACAAATCCCTCAATTTCCATCCGAGAACCCCCAAAAGAATGAGGGGAAAAACGAAAATGTGGTTTATTCAGCCCAAATTTCACAGGATGTCTCACCATCCCACAGATATCAGATACCAAACATGGGGGCAGCCCCTTCCTAGCTCGCTGTTCTCACTGGGGGGAATGCTTAGCATCCTTCCCATGGCACAGCTACACTTGCACAATGCCTTAGCTAGAATTTTTGGAATTCTTTTTTAGGATTTTCCCATGATCTGTTGTTTTTTAGGCAGAATGCAAACACCAATCCCTGCATTCAATGAATAGGCGTCAGGCTGATTTTCTGCTCGTTTGGTGCGAAGTTGGCACTATGGATCTTCACTGGGTCTTCCAGGTGGAAAAAAAACATTGGTAAAATCAAGGTGAGAAGCACCAAAAAGTCACCTGAGCATCTTGGAGCTGTTTCATCACTTTGAGGCATGAATGTAGAGTGAACAAAGGGGATTATAGGGATTATAGGGTGAATGCAAGTGTTATAGGGTGAATGTAGGGGTTACAGGGTGAAGGTGCATCCCAGTGCATGAGATCCCATCGTGTTGGGATGCTGTGGGGTGCTGAGCATCCTTTGGGATGTGGTCCAGGTGTGGACGCTGCTCCCAGCCCTGCCACCTCGTGGCTGGTGGGGCTGCAACGTGGGAGGGAGGAGGGTGGGGGATGTTTGGGGAGCCCCAGCACTTGGAGAGCTTTGGGATTGATGATAATGGGGTCAAGGGTGGTGTTAGAGGGGTTAGGGTTGGTGTGGAGATGCACACCAGAGCCAGGGATAAAGCACATGGCACAATGTGTCCAAAGGAAACTGAGGCACAGGGATGCCACCATGGCCCAAGTGTGAACCACCTCCATCCTATGGGGTCCTCTCCATCCACACCCACGAGGATGCCACTTACACCACCACAGCCTGACCCCAAGGGTGGACCACCTCTATCCACTCCCTCCATCCACACTCACCCATTGGGCTGGCAGAGACCCCCAGTGTGAAGATTTGGGGATGGGGACACAGTTTTTCCCATTTTCCTGCTGACAGGCAGGGCTGAATTAACGCAAAAGGGTTCGTTTGTTTGTTGAGGAGGCAAAGCAAAGAAAACCTGCTGCATTCCAAACAGTTAAAACCAAGGGCCATTCATGTTTCTCCATGCGTTATCAATATCCCCAATATCTACCAATACATCCAGTATCTATAAATACTTCTAAAAGTCAAATGATGATTTTATGGACTGCAATGCACAGGGGCTATGGGACGGAGGTGATACAAAGGTGGGGGAGGATGCAAGAAAGGATGGTTTGACGATGTAGTGCAATAATAAAAATGCATCTTGTGAGGTGTTTTAACCATGTTTTCTTGTGCTCTTCCAGCTTGAAAACCACCTGCAGCAACATGGAAAAATGCACCCAAAATTGAAAACACAGTTTGCAACAACTCCACAACCTGTAATGTGGTGTCATTGGGATTTGCCACAACCCAGTGGGTGCCACCTCCCATGAGCATCCTTGGGGTACCCAATTGGAATCACCAGCAGTGGACAGGAGCCACGGAGGGATTAGGATCAGGCCAGGATCCAAGCGGGGCCGTCGCTCGGTATTTTTAGCCCCATCCCTTCCCTCCCCACCACGTCACGTTGGTCATCTAAGTTTACTCACAGGCGGTCGAGTGACATAACCAGGTTGGAGGGCACGGGATGGCAGCGGGATCGCGTCACCCTTTGCTTTTAGCTCCTGTGGCCCTTTAACCCTTGGAGTATGGATGGGCACCACGATCCCGTGTCAGCGCTGCCTCAGTTTCCCCAAATTGCTGTCGGATTTGGCAGGCTGCAGAAGCGGGGTTACAGAGGGGATGTGCAACCCAAAAGTGATGGCACCATCCTGGTGACCGTCCCTTAGCCACCGCTAAGCACAGATCTGACCCGAGGGAAGGGTCAAAAATAATCCTGCTAAGGTTAAAAATTGTGTGAAGACATGGGACAGGACAGGGGGGAGGAGGGCTGGGGACAGCCACAGTGATGATGGGCAGCTCGAGGGAGATGCTACCCTGGCACCTGCTTCCCCAGCAGGGGACCAAGAGCTGTGCCAGCAGCCCTGGATCGTGCCTGAGGGTTTTCCAGGAAATGTTTACGGTGCCCTCCAGAAACACAGCTCCGTATCCCTCCTCCCTCCTCCTCCTGCTGTCCCCATAGGGCCGAGCTCATGCAACGCTTTCTCACCCTAAGGCAGCATCCAAGAGGCACGGATAAAACCCTGCCGTGCCCATCGCCGAGTGCTTCAACGCTCCTGGCCACCGTCACCTTGCAATGGCCACCCCTGGGGACCTTGCCACTCATCATTATTGGTGAACTCAGGTTTTTGATGAGGAAACCGTGTTTCTTGCACACTTCCAGGGATGGTTACTCGACCACCTCCGTGGGTAGCCTGTTCCAATGCATGATCACTCGTTCTGAGAAGAAATTTCTCCAAATATCTGAATTTTCAGATTGGAGTGGGGGTTCTACATACAAACCCAGAAGTTGGAAGATTTGCATTTTCGTGTTCAGCTTCTTCAAGGGAACAACGTGGGACATCTGTGCCCGTTTCCCACTCACTGCATGACTCCGGTAGAGTCATAATGCTGAAAGATGAGCAAAGCTCCAGGCAGAAACTCTTTTATTTAAATACAAAACCGCACAAGTTAATAAAAGACATTTAGTAACAACGGGGACGACAACAACTTTATTAAAAAAAAAAAAACAAAAAAACAAAAAAACAAAAAAAACAATGAGGAACTCCATACACAATGCTTGGTTGAATTTTCCCATAGAGACGGTCACACGAAATCGGTGCAGAAAGCAGAAGAAGGGTGGAGCAATAGGGTCCCCCACTCTAATATCTCTGCCCTTCTTCAAGAGGTGACAAGCATCGATGACACGGTGCCTTTGGTGGCCTGCCATGCCCCAAGTCACCCGAGCCATGTGTCGGGGTGAAACACAACCCGGGGGCTCTGCCTACCATAAATCCCATCACTCCCTCCCTTTAGGAGCTGGGCAGGGGGGAGCCTTCCAGTCTCTGCCCCTACCCTCTATGGGGTGCACACACACAGCTCCTCTGGGGGATGTTCTGGGTGTAAAAATGCAGCCATCAGCTTTAATGGAGCTGTTGTACACCTGAGCCTGCGGCGACACGGTGACATTGTCACCCATCCCATGACCAAGCACACCTGGGTGCCTGCTCCCTGGAGACAACAGAGCTGGCACTGCCACTGTCTTCTTGTTGGAAATGCCAGAGGTGGGGGCTCACGGGTTCATCCAAGCTCCAGTGGGATGAGTGGGGTGACGCCATGAGCATCGGGACCAAGCAAAATGCGTTTGCAGTGCAAAGATTGGCACGTGCATGTAGAACTGTGGCACTGCCCCTGTGGGGCACGCAGTCCTGAATTGTATAATGCTGCTGCATTTTCCCTGCAGGGCTCTCAAAATAAAGTTTGTCCTAAGGTATTGCCTATCAGATAGGCAAATCTTGCTATTTAAGGACACAGATGAGCAAATCATGCCTCCTGACACCTCTTGGCAAGGGTTGACCTGTCCTCCGTGTCAGGGAGCAGCATCCACCACCCAAAACCGCTCTGAAAATTGAATCCATGGATGCAAAAATCACGGCAGCATTTCAAAAACTGCAGAGCCAGCAGAAACCTGCTTGGCAGAGGGCTCCCCACACGCCTTTAAATCATGGAGATAAAGGCATGGAGCAGGAAAACCAAAACCTGGCCAACAGACTGAGCACTATCAACAATCATCAGTGCCTCCATCCATCTGCACAACGGCAGCAATGAGAGCCATGATCCATCTTTCATCAGCTCGTTGCTCTACAGGAGGAGGTGAACCAAGACCTGAGATTGGCACAACTTATCACACGGATCAGGGCTGGTGCAGGGGAGCATCAAGGGTCAGGATGAACAGGCATCCCCCTAGGAGATAGGATGCTGTGAGATATCAGATTAATAATGCATGAGGGACAGTAGTTGAGCACTGAGGTTGTGCCGTGCTGAGCAGTTACACTGCTGTTGTTATTTCCTACCAGGCTGGGAGCTGCTTTTGCTTCCATGTGGATTCACAGGGGTCCAAAGACCCTGAAAAAAGCTAGTTTGGATCTCCAGGAGAGCAAAACCCGCCGGGACACATAGCAATGGTCTGAGCTCAGTGCTGCTCCTGAAAATAAGGGATGGAGCAGGATGCAGACTGGCTTTTGGCATGGAAACTCCAACCTATGTGGGAACTTTGTGTCATGCTACACCTTACCATGATAACTTGAGATCTGCAGGTACCTCATCCCAAATAGAGCAAGGGGTGTGGATGCAGGCATATGACCAAGGATGCTTGGTAGAGTATCCTACCTTGTATCCTACACCCAAGCAGTGTCCATGTGACTGGCTGGTTGAACATCTCCACTCTTCATCCTCCCCAGGAGCCTTAAATAAACCAACTTAAACCAGAATTTATTCCCAAACTTAAAATACTTCAACAAAACCACCTCCCTGAGGTGCTGGGCTGAGGGAACGCTTCTCCATGCCACTGCCAGGCTCTCTGGTGAAACAATATCCCAGAAAATTGAACAACAAAA